GCTGTTTTCTTCCCTTCGTTATAGATTTATCCATCTGTGGTCTTTATAATTACCGTCTTTATAGTTGGGTTTCTGAATGGACGTCCAACTTGTTGATTCCCGGCGCTAGAATCTGAGCAACCCGCTGCGCCGGCCAAAACGGCGGCTTTAAGACTGATGGTGCTTTTCTGACTCTGCACCAAGAACCGCCGCTCCAAGGCAGCGGCAAAACCACCTCACTGGCCTCAAGAGTTGCGCTGGTGACACGTGGGGCTCCTCCGCTGGGAATCTCCTGGTGGGTGAGCAACAAAAATTGATCTGAAAATGTGGCGTCCTCTCGTTCTCTTCTCTTTCAGTGGGAGCTAGAATCCTGAGCTGCTAGAGATCAACCATCTTGGATCTCTCTCCCGAGATCCCATTTTGTTATTTGTCTGCTGGTTGTTTTGCAAACTTCTCTATTCCTTCCTTCCTATCTTCCTTTTAGTGTTGCTGACTTTCTCCAGTGATATGCTTTAGTTTGCTTTTTATTTTTTGTGTAACTGTTGTATGTTTTTAAATTTCAGGTTACCATGAGCTTATAAATAGTATCTTTTAACCCATTGTTTCATTTTTATTTTTATGTATGTATTGTTTTTGAGATGGAGTCTCACTCTGCTGCCCAGGCTGGAGTGCACTAGCACAATCTCTGTTCACACAATCTCTGCCTCCGGTAACCCATTATTTTAAACTCATGAGAAGTTAACACTGATTGCATAAACAAAGACAAATAGAAAACTAATAAAAACTCTACACTTTAATGGCATCTCCACAACTCTTAATGTTTTGTTGTTTCTCTTTATGTCTTATTGTACTGTGTCTTCAAAAGTTGTTGTATTCTTTTTGATGGATTTATCATGTAGTCTTTCTACTTGTCAAGAGAAGTTCACACACCACAGTTAGTATTATACTAATCTGTGTTTTTCTGTGTGCTTACTGTTGGCAGTGAGTTTGTTTCCTCTCACATGATGTTTTCTTGCTCACTAACATCTTTTCTTTCAGAATGATGAATTCACTTTAACAGTTATGGTAGGACAACTCTGGTGTTGATGAAATTCCTTGGGCTTTATTTTTCTGGAAAGGTCTTTATTTCTCCTTCATGCTTAAAAGATATTTTTGCCAGATATGCTATGCTGTGGTAGAAGTTTCCTGTTTTTTTTTCTTGTTGTTTTTGTTTGTTTTCCTTCAGCCCTTTAGATATACCATGTTTCTCTCTTGGCCTGTAAGGTTTCCACTGAAAAGTCTGCTGCCAGATATATTGGAGCTCCATTGCATGTCATTTGTTTCTTTCCTCTTGCTGCTTTTAGGATCCTTTCTTTATCCTTGCTCTTTGGCTGTTTGATTACTAAATACCTTGAGGTAGTCTTCTTTGGGTTACATTTGCTTCGTCTTCAATAAGCTTCTTGTACTTAGATATTGATATCTTCTCTAGGTTTGGCAAGTTCTTTGTTACTATCCCTTTAAATAAATCATTTAAATCTCTTTCTACCCCCATTTCTTTCTCTACCTCCTCTTTAAGACCAATAACTCTTAGATTTGAAGCTATTTTCTAGATCCTGTAGATTTGCTCCATTTTTTAAAAAATATTTTGTCTCCTTGGATTGTGTATTTTCAAATAGCTTGTCTTCATGGTGACTAATTCTTTCTTTGGTCCGAGCCTTTCTGCTATTAAGGGACTCTAATGCTTTCTTTATTATGCCAATTGCATTTTTTAGCTCCAGAATTTCTGCTTGATTGCTTTTAATTATTACAATACCTTTGTTAAATTTATCTGATAGAATTCTGAATTTCTTATTTGTGTTCTGTTAAATTTCTTTGACTTTTTCTCAAACAGCTATTTTGAATTTTCTATATGAAAGATTGTATATCCCTGTTTCTTTAGGGTTGGTTCCTGTTGCCCTCATTAGTTCATTTTGTGAGGTTGTGTTTTTCTGGATGGTGTTGATGCACATGTTCTTCAGTTTCTGGGCATTAAAGAGTTGGGTATTTATTGTAGTCTTCACAGTCTGAGCTTGTTTGAGCCTATCCTTTTTGGGCTGTCTTTGCAGGTATTTGAAAAGACATGGGCCCAAAGCCAAATAATACTATGGTTTTTGTGGACTCACAAAGATATTGTGTTGGTGGTCTTGGGTATGATCTTGAAAAATTCTCTGCATTAACAGGCAGAGAACTTGGTTCTTTTCCCTTACTCTCTCCCAAACATATGGAGTGTCTCTCTCTGTTCTGAGCCACCTGGAAGTGAGGATGTGTTGATGCAAGCACTCCTGTGACCACTAGACGGACTGCTCTGGATCAGATCTGAAGCCAGTACAGAACTTGCGTTGCCAAAGGCCCTTCCCTTCATGGTGGTGAGTACTCCCAGGCCCTGGGAATGTCCAGAAATGTTTAAACTCTTAGTCGTGTACCTGATGTTCTATTCTACTGTGGCTAAGCTGGCACTGAAACCATGATATGAAGTTAAAATCAGGTACCATGATTGCTTACCTCATTTTTTGTTCTTGTGATGCTGCTTTTCTGTGTGTAGATAGTTGTTAAAATTTGGTGATTTAGTAAGAGGGACAAAAGGCATAGGCTTCTATTCTTCCATGTTGCTCTACTCCCTGGTTATTTCTTGTAAACAGCACATAACTACTCTTTTAAAAAATTAAATCTAACAATCTCTGTTTTAAATGGAATGTTTAGTCCATTTACAATATTTTGTGTTTTGAGCCTGCAATCTTACTGCTTATCTTTTATTTGTCCAGTCATGTTTCTCCACTTTTTCCTTCTTTTCTGCATTCTTTTTTGAATCAAATATTTCTTAGTCTTTTTTTTTTAATTTGTTAATTTGATTTTTGGTGTGTCTTAAACTTATTTTTTTATTATCAAGAATTTTAAAAAATACATACTAAACTTACAATGATCTTTATTTTATAATTACATTTGAAATTAATTTTAAAACAGTTAAAGAGTATTTACTCTCATTTTACGTGTTTGTGTTGTCACATTTTAAAATCTAGATGCATATAATCCCTATACCAAAACATTTGTATTTTGTATTTCATACAGCCAGTTGTCAAATAAAAGCCTGAAATGCTCAGCAAAATATTTCCAGTATTTCTGGCCGTAATTCTAATATCTTGATGATCTTTGGTATGTTCTTGGGAAGATTACAATTTTAGTTCTAAATTTATCACTAGGCAGACTTCCCCTGAGCACACCAGAAGTCTCCTTATAAAATATATATGAATTCCATAAAAAACACAATAAGTCCAGGAGAACCACATTCAATAACATTTTCTGTTAAAATATTTACTGTGGACCAGGCCCAGTGGCTCATGCCTATAGTCTCAGCAATTTGGGAGGCTGGTTGGGGGGAGAATCCCTTGAGCTCAGGAGTTCTAGTACAGCCTGGGAAACATAGTAATGTTTTGTCTCTATTAAAAATCAACAAAATTAGCTGGGCATGGTAGCATATGCTTGTATTCCCAGCTACTCAGGATTTTGAGGTGGGAGAACAAATTGAGTACAGGTGTTACAGGTTGAAGTGAGATGTGTTCATACCTTTATACTCCAGCCTGAACAACAGAGTAAGAACCTGTCTCAAAAAATAAATAAGTAAATAAAAATATTTGCTTTGCTATTGCTTTTTCATACCCAGTAATGGAGATAAAACAAAATTAATTGCAAACTGTTTCCCCAAATTATAATCTAATCCAAAATTTTAAAACACATGGCTTGGGTCAATTATATTAAATATTACATATTACTGTAGAGAGAAATATATATTATATATATTGCATGTATCTATTAAATATACATATATTAATTAAATATGATAACATAACTATACTTATATAACAAAACATAATTATATAACATTATCTAATATATTATATATATTGCATGTATCTATTAATTATACATATATTAATTATATTAAATATGATAACATAATTATATAACAAAACATAATTATATAACATTATCAAATATAATTATATTAAATATTTGGCATTAAATATGTATTATTTTATACATATATACTATCTATACTGTGTATATATATATATATATATACACATACTATGTATGTGTGTGTGTATATTAACTACAATACTAAAAATAATATATATTCTATGTTTGTAAATGAAAGAGATAGTTAAAAGTATGTGTTTTTTATCGTATGAAGGGAAAACTAACATCAAAGTTGAGAAAACACAGCTCACTGCAACCTCCATCTCCCAGGCTCAAGTGGTCCTTCCACCTAAGGCTCTCAGCTAGCTGGGACTACAAGTACTTTTCACTATGCCCAGCAATTTTTTTTTTTTAATTTTTAATAGAGATAGAGTCTCACTATGATGCCCAGGGTGTTCTAGAACTCCTTAGCTCAAGAGATTTGAAGTTAGCATCTATTTAATGCTCATCGATTTAATGCTCATCAATATAATGCTAAATCAATGTTATGAAAAAAATGCATAGAGATTTTAATATGTACTCTTTTAAAAATATGTTGTTTTGTCAGTCATTAAAATTCCTCTGNAGGATTAGGAAACTAGATATAGATGGAAATACTGAATTCAAACAAAATATTATTTGCTTTCATACTCATTGTTTAATGCAATTTATTTAGTAATTTTATTTTGTCAACTTTTTTTTCTTTTTCTGATATTATGCTGCTTTTTCCTTTCAGTATTACAAACAGGATCTCTTTAATGAATTGCTTCTTCCTCTTGAATTATTTTCAGTGAATTATAGAGTTTTCATTAACATCCTGATTTAAATTAAAACAACTATATAATTTTAGAAAATTTAAGAGAAAAAAATAGAAGAATATTGTCTCAATTATCATAGTTAATTTCATCAAATTCCTTTTTCCATAATTCACAAATTTAATTATATCTTTATTTTACAGTAAGATTTCATTATTGTTTTGTTTGTAACAAACAATATTTGTTACATTATTGATAATTAATGTTACATTGATCATTAACAATAATGTAACAAACATTTTTAATTAATACTGTTTGATATTTAATGTTACATTACTAATAATTAATTTTTAATAAACATTCCAGTGTAATAATTAACCATTTAAATGATTGGTTAAATTATGTAATCATTTAAATAGTTAATTATTGCACTGGATATTTGTTAATTTAACCAATTATTTAATTATTTAAATTACATATTGCACTGAAATATTTAGCCTAACTAAATTCTTCTTTTATAAATTATTGTATAAATTTATTATTTGGTTACTATTATCAATGCCATACTATAAGTTATGAAATAAAAAATTGAAGTAATAACAGAAAGAGATTTACACAATTCTGATATATCTTCTTTTGTTCTGGTTTATAATTTTTATAAAAGATGTGATTAAAAACAATCTCAATATATTAATAAATAGTCATTTTTATCACTACATATGGGGTACATATGGGGTATATATGAAAAGAGGTACATATGGTGAAGTCTGGAAGAACCCATGTGCAAGCAGCTCGTTATTCCTTCTCAGAGGAATCTCATGGGGATAAGTTTAATTCTCCCAGCAATGATATGTGACATTTGCAAAGTATTGCCAATTAGGAAAGCTCACCTTAATCCTGCCATTAAGGGTATTTATTAGTGGCCTGTCTTGTAGACATGCAGAATCTGCAAGACTGACTTAACTATTTCTTTCCAGCCTCCCATAGGTCCAGCTAATACAGCATGGCACGGGGCCTCAGGCATACAAAAATGGTTGCTCACCATAAGTCACACTGGTAGAATAAAGTATCTGGTCAAATTAATAGACGTGACCCAAAGTCTCAGGCAGACAAAAATACACTCACCAGGTGTTGTATTCCAGTGACTCAGAGGTTCTCTTTCAGAAGGTGGTCAAGATCCCATCCTTTGGAATGTGCAGAATTTGAGTAACCAGTCCTGCTCCGTTAACCTTTTAGGGCATAGTCACAAAGTTCCCAGTGTTAGTCAAGGTTCCCCAGAGGGACAGAACTAAGACATACGTATATATGAAACGGAGTTTATTAAGGAGAACTGGCTCACATGAAATGCCATGGGAAGGCTGTCTGCAAGCTGAGGAGGTAGGAAGCCAGCAGTGGTTCAGTCTGAGTCAAAAAGCCTCAAAAGTGGGGAAGCCACGAGTGCAGCCTTCAGTCCTGGTCAAAAACCCGAGAGGCCCTGCAAACCCCTGGTGTAAGTCTGGGTCTAAAGGCTAAGAACCTGGAGTCTGATGTCCAAAGGGAGGAAGCCTCCAGCATGGAAGAAAGACGAAAGCCAGAAGACTCAGCAAGCCAGTTTATCCCACCTCCTTCTGCCTGCTTCCTTCTAGCCCTGCTGGCAGCTGACTGGATGGTGCCCGCCCACATGCAGGGTGGGTCTTCCTCTCCCAGTCCACTAACTCAAATGTTAATCTCCTCTGGCAACACCCTCACAGACACACCCAGAAACAATAGTTTACCAGCTAGCTAGGCATACTTCAATCAAGTTGATACCTAGTATTAACCATCACATTCCCATATGATATTTTTAACTATTATTGACAATACTTCAAAATTAACTGCGATTATGAGTTGCTAAGATTTAGGTCTCTAATGTTGGTCATATGTTGGCCTGTTTTTGATGGTAAGACTGCTTTTTAAAAATTGACCTGGCACACTGCCTCACTACTCACAAAGCAAAGACATGGAATCAACCTAAATGTCCATCAGCAGCACACAGGATTAAAAAAACATGTGGTGCATATACACTATGGAATACTACACAACCATAAAAAGAGTGAGACTGTGTTCTTTGCAGCCATATAGATAGAGTTAGGGGCCTTTACCGTAAGTGAAGTAACACAGGAACTCAAAACCAAATAATGCAAGTTCTCACAAATTGGAGCAAACTATTGACTATACATGGACAATAAGAAGGGAATGACAGCCACTGGGGCCTACTCGAAGGTGGAAGGTGGGAGGAGGGTGAGGATTAGAAATCAACCTATGACATATTTGGTGACGAAATAGTCTGTATGCCAAACCCCTGTGACACACAGTTTACCTATTGAACAAACTTGTACATGTACCAGTGAACGTAATGTAGAAGTTAAAAATAAAATTGAACAAACAATATACTTAGGCAAGAAATATTAATTAGGAACTAAGTAAAATGGAGGAGAACAGTACTCTGAGAAAATGGTTCCAAAGGTAATTCAGGTGAATTCAGTAAAAAAGTTTCGTTCATGTATTGTTTCTTAACTGCTTTACTCTCTGGGTAAATTTGGTTTGTTGTAAACAGTGAGTGACTGAGTGGTAGGGTGTGCAGGGTGGCAAATTTATTTTATTTCAACTTATTATAAACCTTTT